TGATGATGTCTACAAAAACCGTTAACTCGTGTCTATTGTTTAATAGATTATTATTATTTAGAAACTTAATTATGTGCAATTTCTCATGGAGGCAATAAAGGGCATGGGTCATCCCAAGTTTTATATGTTCTAGCCCTGTTTATAATTTTCCATTTTACTTTTTATGTCCTATTTGTTTTTCTTCAGATGCCAAAAATATTTAGATAGGGAATTCTGATTTCTTTTTTTTATATTATTGAAAGAACACTTATGCTGCCTCCATCTATCTTTAAAATCATTCTTCGTGGACCCAATGTATATCTTATTAGTGCTAGGGCTCTCAGTGGATGATATAGTACATTGGTATACCACAGATTTAATGCAGCATTTATTTTCTATATATATATCGGAATAAAAAAAATATAATTTTGGCTAATTTTGACAAAGTGCGCTAAAACTCATTCTTCTGCACTGTTTTGATGGTAAACCAATTTTTGTCTCTATTTTATAATGACAATTTTCGATGGGATCTGAGCCTAGGAAAACGTAAAAACCATACTTTTATCAGTTAAAAAATTCTTGTTACAAACTTACCAAAAAGATTTAAAATTTTGCAAAATTTTTTTTAGATTTTTGCAATGTTTTGTAATTTCATTTTAATCTGTTACTTCTTAGGCAAAATCCGCATGGGATAACTAAACACCACCAACGCAACACAACACTGCCGAGCGCCGGGACAACTCAGGACTGAGTCATTTCGTGACCGACACATCTTATCACCAAAAAAAAATACATAACTGTTTTTATAACTGAATAAAAGTAATTTACTAAAGATTAAAACTTTACTTAAAATTAAGCATTTGAAAAGGAATTTTTTTAAAATATGAACCAATTTTTTGTTTTTAATTATTTTAATAAAGTGAATCTTAACTTATTAAATTATTTTATAAACATATTTTAGAATGACGATTTACTTCATTGAAAATAAATTACATTACGATTTGCCATATTAAAATATTTTAATTATTTTAATATATTTCAATCTATCTTTTATTTTTATCAAATTTTTATTTGTAATTATTTTTTGATTTATAAAAAACAATTAAAAACAAGTGTTTTATTGAATTATTTTTTTATATGTCAATTTACTTTATTAAAAAATAAATTTCTTTACGGTTTATTTTATTAAAAATAATTAAAAACAAAAAAAACTGGTTCATATTTTACATAATTCCTTTTCAAAATCCTTATAAAAAGAAAATAAGGACAAATTACGGTTTGAATCCTTAATAAATTAATTTTATTTGATTACAAGAAAAAAGTTATTTTTTCTGATACTGAGTTGTCTCATTTCATTGATTGTTCCGGCGCTCAGTTTTCAGCCGGCGGTGTTCAATCGGCGGTGTTCAGTCGATGGCGCTCAGACGACGGTGTTCAGTCGACGGCGCTCAGTCGACGGTGTTCAGTCGGCGGCGTTCTGTCGACGGCGCTCAGTCGGCGGTGTTCAATCGGCGGTGTTCAGTCGACGGCGCTCAGTCGGCGGCGTTCAGTCGACGGCGCTCAGTCGACGGTGTTCAGTCGGCGGTGTTCAGTCGACGGCGCTGTCGACGGTGTTCAGTCGGCGGCGTTCAAATTTCACGGCGATATTCGACGGTGTTCAGTCGGCGGTGTTCATTTTTTATCAGTCGACGGTGTTCAGTCGGCGGCGTTCAGTCGACGGCGCTCAGTCGACGGTGTTCAGTCGGCGGCGTTCTGTCGAATAAAATGATCAGTTAAAGCGGTGTTCAGTCGACGACGCTCAGTCGGCGGTGTTTATTCGACGACGCTCAGTCAGTGGTGTTCAGTCGACGGCACTCACTCAAACCTTGAGTTGGTCTGCGGCCTCTGAAAACGACATTAAAATAAGGTAGAATATCAAAACCTCAAAAATATACGTGAATGTATATTAATATTACTATTTTATTTTTACTAATATTAACTTTTTATTTTACTTAATATTAAAGGTCCATAAAATGGAAACATTTTCAAATAAATATATTCTACAATGTTTCAATTGAGAAAAAAATGCTATTTTTATTGGCGGCGACGATGCGTGATAGAAGTTCTGTATTTCACTATAATCGAATATGGATGAATGAAATAAAAAAAGAATTCGAAAAAATGAAAGACGTGCGATTTTTTCAGAAGAGATAGATAGATATAGATAGATAGATAGATGATATGAAAATAAATTGAACAAGTTATTTTGATAGATAAAGATAGGTAGATAGATAGATATGAACAAATTGAGATAGATAGATAGATAGATAATAGATAGATATTTATAAATAGATATATGGTTAATATTTACTGAAATGGTTAATAGATAACTAGAAATAGATAGATAGATTTATAGATAGTCATAGATATGACCAGACTAAGAAAAGATAGACTTTTTAATAATGCGACTAAGACATAAGGGGTTAATTCAGTGAACGAGGGTGAATAAGATTTTTTTATGAAGGAACCGGAAACTCATCCCTGAAAAGAAACAAGGGATAAACCTCTACTTCTGTTCAAAAGATGGGGAAGGTGTGTTTTTTTTAAATATTTGATCAAGATAGATAGATAGATATATATATATATATATATATATATATGATGAAAGTTGATCACTAAAGCATAGAACAGTAGTTCCAAAATTTTTCTGGCCATGCCCCACCCCTATAATTCTGAAGCCCCCGCCCCATGACAAATAATGAAATTATTCGAAAAGTGAACTCCTATTCACGTGGAGGTCAGCTAAAAGGCCATGAACTTTCCTTAAGAACTTGAGATTGGATATATGCGATAATATCATCATTTAATTTCAGAATCTTACAATGTTTATGAAAAGTACTGTTACTAACATATATATATATATATATATATATATATATATATATATATATACGCACACACACACACATCGCATGCAAACATATGGCCAGATAAACTGGTCGAACCGCACACATATATAATATCAAACGCACGCGAAAATAGGTATCCATGGAAACAAATATATATATATATACGTATACCGTCAAAAACAGACTACTCACAGGCACACAAACAAAAACAGGAAGAATATGTGTGTTTATTTAAATGTATATATATATATATATATATATATGTGTGTGTGTGTGTGTGTGTGTGTGTGTGTGTGTGTGTGTGTGTTATATATGTGTGTGTGTGTATATAATGCATATATGTTTCGATGAAAAATTCAATTTTATATAAGACAGTATATATATATATGAAATTTTACATATGCAGGCTAACAGGGATAAAGAAAACATCTCTCATCAAATGATTTCTATCATTTACCAGCTCTCAAATCAAAAAAAAATAAGAATTTACATTAGGCAGAAATTCACTTTTTTGCCAACGTCCTGAAACAATGAAATTCTAAAAAATATGAAATCATAAATTATGATATATACAGTAAAACATATCCATTCTATAAAAAATCGTTTGCATAAATTATATATATATATATATATATATATATATATATATATATATATATTTATTTATTTAAAATATGATTCCAAAAAAAAACGACATAAGAAGTCTTGCAAAAACAAGAGCCTGAAAAAACAACAATATAAGCGTTTTGGAATCATATTTTTAATAAATAATTATATTTATGCTTATACTTTTTGTATCGAGCACTATTTTTTAAAATAATAACTAAAAATACTAAGGGACTTTGGATTATTTACCTAACCAGTTCCTTCCTATTTTCTATATATTTTCACATATATATATATATATATATATATATATATATATATATATATATATATATATATATATATATATATAAAATAAGTAAAGGATTTATGGATACAATACAATAATTTTATGTATGCATACTAGAATAGGCATTAAAGAATCTATTTATTCCCACACACTTATGCGCACAAAGATTCACTAGAAAAATTCATTGTTAATAACTCATTATCGAATTGGCCCCTTAAAAATCAAATTGCTCTCTCTGTGAGTCGTGCAACAAACTTTGGGAACACGGGTATGGAAATAAGATTCAAGATGGATACGACTGTTGCCAAAAAATAAAAAAAATATATTATTTGCTTTAAAGACGATAATAATAACACTAACGATAATAGCGATTATCTCGCAGGAAATGCAAACAAGTGGAAAAGAAAAGACAAAACAAAATGGTAGGAACGAAAAGGGGGAAGACGTTTAAGTTCGAACTGAACAAGAGAGAGTGAAAGAGAGAGAAGCGGCTTGTAGTGAAGGAGAGAGAAAGGGAGAAATGCCTGCTTGTAGAGAGAGAGAGAGAGAGACGGAGAGAGAGAAAAGCGGCTTGTAGAGAGAAAATCGACTCGTAGAGAAGAAGAGAGGGGGAGAAAAAGCAGCTCGTAGAGAGAGAGAGAGAAGAAGAAAAAAAACTCGTCTCGTAGAGAGAAGAGTTGTTTGAAAGCCCGTTCGAAGAGAGAAAAATAGAAAAAAAGCGAATCCCTCGAAGAGAAATAAAAGCGACCCATAGAGTGACAGAGAGAAGCCACTCGTAAAGTAAAAGAAAAAATTTTTGTAGAGAGAAAAAAAACCGTAAGATGAGAAGAGAGAGAAACGGCTCGTAGAGAGAGATGATCAGTCCACGAAAAGGCTCATAGAGAGAAAAAATAACGTAGAATGAGATAAGAAAAACGGCTGGTAATAAGAAACGGAGAGAAAAAAGAAGACTCGTAGAGAGATATATCTGACTATGAAAAGGCTTGTAGAGAGGGGAAAAGAAAAATAGGCTCATATAGAGAGAGAGTTAGAGATCAATAGATAGAGAGAAAAGAAAGAAAAGCGTCTCGTAGAGAGGCAGAGAGAAAGAGAGAAGCAGCACGTAGAGAATAGGAGAAAATAATAAAAAGAAAAAAATAAAGAAACAGATCCAAAAAAAAGGAGAGAGAAAAAGGCTCGTATAGATAAGAGGGGTATTCAGAAAAAAAGGACTCGATAAAAAATAAATATATCAAAGATCAGGCTCGAGAGAGAGAGAGAGAGAGAGAGAGAGGAAGAAATACAATAAGCGGCACGTAGCACTGGAGAGAGAAAAAAAAAAGGAACGTCAGAGAGAGAAAAGAAGAGACACGTAGAAAAAAAGAGAGAGAGAAAATATCTGCTCATAAAAAGAGAAAGAGAAAATAAATTTTGTATTCAGAAATTGTTGTTTGAAAAGCCGGCTAAACAAGATTGAGAAAGAAAGATAGATAGAGATAAATTATCGTAGAATTAGATAGAGAGAAACGGCTGGTAGAGGGAGAGAGATAAAGAATAAAGTAAACACGTAGAGGGATTTAAGACTTTAAAGAAAATCAGAGAATATTTTCTTTCTGATTTCATAGACAGAGAAAGAAAGAAAATTCTCTTAGAGAGGCAGAGATAAGAGGAGAAGAAATTGCATGTTAGAAAAATCTACAGAGAGGGAGAGAGGAGAGAGAGAAATTGCTTCTGTAGTTTGTGTGTGTGTGTACGAGAGAGAGAGACAGAGAGAGAGAGACAGAGAGAGAGAGACAGAGAAAGAGAGACAGAGACAGAGAAGCGGATCGTAGCGAGAAAGAAAAAAGTTGGATGGTAGAGAGATAGAAACTAGCAAAGCGGCACGTAGCGAGGGAGAGAGAAAAACCGGCTCGTAGAGAGAGAGGTAGAGAAAGAGAGAGAAAGAGAGAGAAAGAGAGAGAAAGAGAGAAAGAAGTGACACGTAGAGAAGAGGAGAGAGAGAGAGAAAAAATAGTCTGCTCGTATCGAGAAAGAGAGAGAGAGAAGGGGGGAGAGAGAGAAAATCGACTTGTAGAGAAAAGAGAGAGGGAAAAAAGCCGGCTCGTACAGAGATTGAGAAAGAAAGAGAGAGAGAGAGAGAGAGAGACAGAGAGAGAGAGAGAGAGACTGGAGTAGAAGAGAGGAGAGGAGTAAAAAAAATAAATAGATAAAAAATAAACAAATTGTTTATTCGTAGACAATAGGGAAAAGGTAGACATTGCATTGAAATGATATGTCAGTCCTCATTTGCGAATCGATTCGTTCGAGGCCTGTGCATACCATTCGATGATTTGTCACCTCCTCCAACCAATGTTTATTCGAAATTTCCAACGCAAAATAATATTTATGAAGCCGTATTCTTTAAGATCTTTTTTTTTCTTCTATTTTTTAAATACGTATTCCTTTGTTGTTTATCCTACCTCTGAAAACTACCTTTTCTCACGTGATATAGACATTAGACATGATACATCCATCACCGGAAATTGACAGCGTATGATGCGATATTTATTATTGGATACTGGGAACACGCTTCGGTGATCTATAATGCATCAGGCAATCTATAGTTATCATCGCACGCTTCCTCATCCCCAGCTGCAGCATCTGGCGGATATAGCGGAAGATCACGCGGCAACAAGTCATCACATCACGCCGTCACGCTACAGAGTAAATTGTCGCCATTTTATATTTTACTATTTTTAATTTCGCGCATGCGCGTTGTTTTTTTTTAATTTTTATCTATTTTTTTTATTTTGTCGACTGCAGAGTATAGTAGGGTCAGTAGGAGTCCCATGACGCAATTCACTCCGCCAGAGATTTGGAAACGGCATGCTGTATCGCTTGGCATTCACGCCGGAAGCTCCAATACGAACATTTCAGAGTAGTTGGGTATTAATCCGAGTACCGTGCAGAGCATTCGGAAAGAGTTGGGTGAGTCTAATGGTGATTGCGAAGGTACGGCAGCTCGGAAAACACACTCTGATCGTTCTGATAAGAAAAAAAAACTCCCGAAATTGTTGGTGATGGTCTCAAACTCAACACGGAGGCCTATATCAAGTACCTTGAAAAGTTAGTGCTATCCTGGATCAAGATGGTGGTTGCTGGAAGTCCCTATGTCTGGCAACAGGACTCTGCACCATGCCCCACAGAGGAGGAGAACCCAGTCAAGGCTGTCAGACAATTTCTGTGATCCCTTACATCTGGCCACCTAACTCTCTAAACTGCAACCCTCTTGATTATTATGTGCAGGGCGCAGTTAAGCGAGAGACCAACAAAACTCCTTATAACACCAAAGATGAACTGAAGGCAAGGAATATGGCAGTATTCACGAACTTAAACAAGGTGGCCGTCCAGAAGAGTTGCAAGAGATTCCGAAGTCGGCCGGAGGTCAGGGTTGAAGCCAATGGCGGTTTTATTGAATAAATAAAATTAGTATTTCAAGATATTTTAGTATTTCAAGATATTTTTGTGTAATTTTTGGTCAATATTTTGGCTAAAACGTGTTGTCCGTGTTATTTTCAATTTTTGCGTAACATGGGCGACAATTTATCCATCGCACCCTGTATACTCTGATCCCTGTCCAGCCAACCATTTAAACAAGCCAGTCCGGCAAGTTGCCCGCTTCTTTCGTCTGTCCCCCTTTTCTCCAATCTGTCCCGTGAGGGTCAAATTTTCCAAGCCCTCTTTCCTCATTATTTGTCCAGTCCTGGATATGAGGATGAACCACATCCGGTAGCAAGGCCTCAGATCGGGAGATTAGAGTTTTTGAGGAGCGTGGAGCCAACAATTAATTACTATTGTTTCCATGTGCACACTACTAGGATGCTAGCACCTGTTAGGGTCCCTGCTATGGACAAACAGTCAAGACCCCCCAAAAACAAAACACTATGAAAGCATAAAAATACATTTTTATAGTAAAATTAACAGCAATAAACTTTATATTGTAAAATGACCGACAATACATTTTATAGCAAAATAACAAACAATAAATTTTATCTGTAGTTGCAGGTATAGAATTGCGTTCAAAATATATATAGTTGAAGCCATAAAATTAAGTTCCAAATATTTAGATTTCGGCATTAAATAATCCATAAACGTTGATATGATATTAAATAATCCATAAACGTTGATGTATTAATCAACATGAAAGAACTCTTTCATGATATTAATCCATATCATGTCCTACAATTTCTTAAAGAAATCAAATTGTATTCCAAAATTTAACTTTAACAAAACTACAACATAAAACACACACACATCACCACCTATAATAATCTGACACACACTCACATAAATGCTGAGTATCATTTACCATGTATTCAACTGTGAAAGCAGAATAACATATGTCATATCTTTATTACTTCAAAGCACCCTAAAACAGTAAATTTTGGCATTAAATGACCCATATGCCAATAAACAAACAAATCAATCACTCATTATATGTCCTAGAACTTTCAAATATCTGTCAACAACTATAATTGTCCTTTTTTTTCTCTAAAAATTTTTGTTGCTGAAAATTCCATGATTTTTTATATTCCTTCTAGAACACATTTCATATGTTTTTCAAGTCAATGGTATTCACTGCCATGATAAGGACTGATATTCTGTACAACCATAAAAAATTCTTTCTCTTGCTTCAAGTTTTCAAGTCTCTTCTTCATAAATTTTTGGCATTTTATGATATTACATAACAGTTCAAGTACTATTTTCTTTGTTTCTCTTGTCAAAATTTCATAATTCAAGAAGCCAATATAATCAAATGATATTACTGATAACAGTTTCAGTACTCTTTTCTTTGTTTCTCTTGCTTCAAGTCTCTTCTTCATCTGTGAGAAATTGTCCAGAAAGTATTCACTGCCATATAGGAGGACTGATATTACGTAAAAGTTCAGTACTCTTTACTTTGTTTCTCTTGCTTCAAGTCTCTTCTTCATCTGTGAGAAGATTGTCCAGAATTTCTGTCATATAGGATATGATGAGGAGTTCAGTATATTTATAAGTTCTCTTCAAGTCTCTTCTTCATCTTGAAAGATTGTCAATTCACTGTAGGAGGACTGATTTACTCTTTTCTTTGTTTCTCTTGCTTCAAGTCTCTTCTTCATCTGTGAGAAGATTGTCCAACATTCACTGCCATATAGGAGGACTGATATTAATTAACAAAGTAACAAAACTTTATCTTCAAATCCTTCTTCATCTGTGACTTTTTTATAGATATAGGAGGACTGATATTAAACAGTTCAATTACTCTTTAAGTTAGATCTCTTGCTTCAAGTTCTTCATCTGAAAAAGATTGTCCATTAATTCACTGCCATATAGGAGGACTGATATTACGTAACAGTTCAGTACTCTTTACTTTTTTTTATCTTGAAAAAAGTCTCTTCTTCATCTGTGAGAAGATTGTCCAGCATTCACTGCCATATAGGAGGACTGAATGATTACGTTTCAGTTCAGTACTCTTTTTCTTTTTTCTCTTGAACAAGTCTCTTCTTCATCTGTGAGGAGATTGTCCAGCATTCACTGCCATATCGGAAGACTAATATTACGTAACATTACAGTACTCTTTTCTTTGTTCCTAACGAATTTTTTTTCTGTTTCTTAATACTTTGCTTAGCTTTTGGAAGGCATCTTGGGTTACCCTAATGCTCCTTTGGATTTCTTTGTCTCACTTTCCGTCCTGAGTAAAAACAAAAGATGCATAACGCTGGTAACGATCGTGGAAAGGAATGGTGGTTTATAGATGAAACTGTGTCTTCTGCAAAGACGTCATATTATTGTAGCTTTGCGATTAAAAATGTTGATGCTTTCTACCGGATTTCATTGAGGATAAAATAAAATGGGCTCGAATCTAGCGGAGAGATTAGTGCTTTATTTTCGATCGTACGCTGTATTCTCACTGTCGTACACTGGCGTCCGGATAAATTTGCGTTGAAAAGCAACTTGAAAAATAATATTGAAAGTGAATAACATTAAAAACAAAAACTGAATATTTCTGTTATTTGAAGTCTTTTCTTCATCTGCGAACAGATTGTCCATCATTTATTGTCGTATAAGGGGGGGCGATATTACGTAGCAGTTCAGTACTCCCTTTTTCGTTTCTATTACTTTGCTTAATACTTTACTTAGCTTTTGGAAGTTGTCTTTTTTGAAAATCAATAAAAGAAACATTCTGCAAACGATACAATCAGTGTTATAAATTTCAAAAAGAAGATGAGGTTTTAAAAAAAAAAAAACGATTTGACATAGAAATCTACTGAATTTATTATTTCTTATTTAATAAAATAATTATTTAAATCATGAGAAAGTATTAAATTAAATTGTAATGAATCAATTAATTAAATGACGGCTGATTTAATCATAATTATGATGAATTTGTTCGTTCATTAGTTAATTAATTACTTTTTTCCTTACTTTTTTAGTTACGCCATGCCAAAAGTATAATATTACATAGAAATACGGAAAAGACATACCAGCAACGCTGTTTGATTTCCGTGAAAAAGAACGAAAAAAAAAGAAAAAAGAACAATTTCTTTTGAAATGACATAAGGAGGCAATAACGTTCTCAAAATTTTGAATCTCTTTTCAATACATCCGACGCGGTGTAAAAAAAGACTCAATATATCAATTACGACTGAAAATAAAAGAAAATTTTTACCTTAAATATTTGCCCTTATATCTTCGGCCTAGCGCCACATATAAGTTACGTTGAGAAAAAACAGTAAGGGCATTTCGACGTGGTGCAATGATTGACAACCTTGACAGGAAAACTTTAATAAAAAAATAATGTAAATCTAAGCTACGCTGAAAAAAATCCCCAATATAGCGTCTGCTTCTAAAAAAAACATGTTAATTTTAGATCTTTTCATTTGTAGCCTCTTAATTCTTAAAATAAGGACCTGAATTCATACTTATGATTGTCATTGCAATATTTTGTTGAGTTCGTTAAGTTCAAATAGTTCACGAATACGACTAGCATATATTATTATTATTATTATTATTAACTAGACTCGAAACTGTCATACAGGCTAGCTCATGCGGAGGGCTTTTACAACTTTGGCTTTTTACCTTCAGCATGCTATGTTTATTAAACAGTTTTGTATCGGTGTCATATAAACCTCTTCTTCTCTGTCCACAATCTCACTCCCTTACTACCAACACTGATGAGAATAAAACGGCCAGCGTAGAATCAGCCAGAGATCTGGTTTTTGCTAATAAAGACCAACTGTCGGTGAGTAATTCCCATTTCTCTGTTTATTTCTCGCGCAGCTGATGAAGGACACAGACGTGCCCGAAAATTCCGAACTTCAAACTTTAATTTCCGTGCTTCATTTTCCGTCATGTGGTTCATAATTAATATTGAATAAAATGTTTTCGTACTGACCACATTGATAGCTTTTCGTTTACCCTTGTTTTAAATTAAATAAATATAATAACTTATTTATTTTAAAACTATAGGAAACACCTCGACTTTTCTTCTAAATTAAATATATATATATATATATATATATATATATATATATATATATATATTCATGAATTATTCATACAAAAAAAAATACAAAGGTTATCGTCCATGCCACTTTGACAGAAAATTTACCAGTAAAAAAAATTCGCTTATCACCATATTTGTACAAGCACGCACAATTGTAAAATTTAAAATCAAACTCAGCGTTGCTACTGCACGCTCAAAAACAATAACTCATTTCTAATAGCATTTTCGGATACAAAAATACATATATTTTCGTTGTCCTCTTATTACTGAGAGAAAAAACAGAACAACATCTATTCCATACCTGAAGATGTCTGTAGGAACAGACGAAAGCTTGTAGTAAAAATAAGAACTAATGCAACAGAAATTTATAAAAACAAGGATATTTTCATTCATAACAGGTTCGGGGTTTTTGTATATTATTTGAATTGTTCGCGACGATGGATTTCTCGCCAATTAAATCATTAACCTTTGTATTTGTTTTTGTATGAATAATTCATGAATTTGTAAATTAATTGCACCTTTATTGAAATATATATATATATATATATATATATATATATATATATATATATATTTATATATATATATATACATATATATATATTATATATATATACATATACATATACGTATATATATATATATATGTCTTAAAATAATTGTCGGACTTCGTCCATTTCATAATGTGTGACGTCATTTGTTTACATTTGATACGCCATTAGCAGATATGAATGTACGTGAGAGATTCATGGAAGATTGAAGTTTAAATACAGTAAATTCGACCTTGCTAACAGAACGCTCCTTCGTGGCCAAATCGGTAAAGGCACGTCAAGCTAAATGACGGTTCCGTATAGGATATAGGCTCGAATCCTGTCGGAGGACGAATATTTTCTGTGAAAATTTCTCGGACATTCAGGCCGGTAAATGATGTTTAGTACTGTTTATTATAAACAGAGCATTTACTTAAATATTTGTATCTATAAAAAGAATGTATAAACATAAAAATGTTTATATATATATATTGTTCTCTTCCGTTGTTTCAGACTTAGGAAGGTATAGCGAATCAGAACCGAAGAGAGTTTTTGGGAAGAGCTGAATACAGACAATTGGTGCACATTTTTATGATCAATGTAATTTTTCTAAAAGTATTTTTTAAGGAATTTTAGGTTTATTTAGGAGATTGTGCTTCTCCTAGACAGGTCGCCACACAAGGCTATAGGACCTTGTCTGTTCTGCTAATAGCACCGAGCTGGTCATAGTGGAGTAATATATAGCGTTTTGGGTTGTATTCGTTTTATTCGTTAACATTCAAACACCCCTGAAAAGGTATGAATATATGTAAGATTTGAGTTTATTTATTTATTTTATTTTTGCAATCCAACATTTGCATTGATAAAGTTCCCTATAGATTGAAATGCAACTATTTACTTATGGTAACTATTAATTCACTCCCAAAATATTATGAATTTTAAATCAAAGTTTGTTTTTTATTCAATTTTTGTCATGCTTTTGAAATAATAAATTTTAAATCAAAATTTGTTTTGCTTGCCTCCAACCCTCAGAATGAAAAATTACCCCAAATCAAGGAGTTATTCACGTTTCCTAAGTGCGGGTGATATTCGAGATATTTACAAAGAATTGTTTACAATTTTTAAAAAATAAATCTGTTTTTGACTTGTTTATAGGGGTGAGCGCGAACGTAGACCCCACACATAGAAATAGTGCAACCCGAGTCGCCAACATTTGTGGCGATCGTAATGATCAGTCCAACCGGAGTGCAATGGAAAGGCATCGCTCTGGGAGAATTTGATGTGAATTTTAGTAAATATAAATTATTTTTATTTTAGAGTGAATTAATATTTTAGGGTGAATTAACAGGAAAGATCTCATTCTTTGAATGTGGTCTGAGAATTAGACAAATGCCAGAAAGAACGAAATTCCATTATTATTTTAAAGATGGTAAAAATATACGCACGGAAAATATTGTTCGTCACAAAAAAAATGTCTTTTGGCGATAAATTCAAAGTTTTCATTTCAAATTAAATCGTGTTGATAATTTCTGTAAAAAATGTATTCTATTTTATTTTATTAGAAAAATTTAAATCTTTTGTTTTTTTCATGTCCTTCTTCTTTATCTATAGTTTAACTTGCCCGAACAGAACTAGCAAGAATTCAATTAGGATGAAAAAAAAAAAAAAAAAACAACATAGGTGCTTGCTCGTGCCTAAAAGAAACACAAATATTGTTTTCCAACATTTCAAGAATTATTCCAAATAGAAGACGTAAAAAAAAAAAATATGGTGGAATTTGTTTAAAAGAAAAAACAAAGTAACGTTCTAAAACTCACTTATCAAATAAAAGCTGCCGACACTGTTTTCCTGAGGAGACGACCGCATTCAGTACTTTAAAAAAAAAAAAAAAAAAACATTTTAGCATTAAAACTCTTCATCAGCTCAGAAAAGAAAAAAAAAAATTAAAGCCGGGTATATAGAGAGCTCCCTCATGAATTTCTCTCTAAGTTCACTTACAAGAACGAAGATCTAATATGATTTTCTCTTTTCTTTCTCCGCCATAAACGCGAAATAAATTGTTCGTTGAAGTCCATGAACGTTTTCGACTGAGACATAAATCAAACCTGTTTATTTAAAGACATCATCAAAGAATACGGTAAGGCAATTTCCATTACTTCTAAATTGATGGAAAAATAAAGCTTCTAGGGAATTATACATTTTGGCATTCCATTTGTGAACGTTTCGACAATCACAAACACGTGAGAAATTAAAGCCAACAGGAATATATACAAAAAAAAAAAACAATTGAGTTTGAATATAAATATATATCTTTTCTACAAATATTTTCATGGCAACTGCTCTGATGAGCTTTCTTTCGCTGGTGCCCGGACTACGTGAGTTTAAAAAATTGCTAAAAGTTTTTATCTAGGTCCCACCCTTTTATTTTTGTACGACTAGATTGGCACCTAGGTCTCACCGTTTCATTGCTAGACTCATACGCCACTTCTATTCTAAGTTTCTTCTTTCTTATTTTCCACCTGTGGAACTTCTCGATTATCTTCCTTCCCTGATAATTACAATCTTCATAAATTTAAATGCTACGTCAACTGCCATCTTCTTTCTCCTTGAACACCGTTTCTTTTTTTTTTTTTTGTCGCTTCCTCAATCCTTTCCCCTTCTCAGTCGTCTTATTCCTATTCAATTTCACTCTTTTTAAACCCCTTGTGTCTTAGTGGCATTATCACCTTGTTTGGAGGTCAGACGCAAGAAAGAAAGAGTGCCTGAAAAGAAAGAGCCTAGAAGGAAGAGTGTGAAAGAAAGAAAGAAAGGATACAACGTGAGAAGAAAAAAAGAAAGGAGAAGGAAAGCAAAAGCCAAGCAAAATCATCATCTTGCGGCCTCAGCCGAGATTGAACTCACTACACCTTTCTAGTATTCCTTATCTGTCATAGCTAATACTTTGATTTGTGTAGTTCGTAATCTTATCAAATAGCTTGGGCTATCAAGAGTGTTTTTATCGTGACACCATCACTAAATGGATTGCCAACCAAGGCTCAGAGAGACTCCATTCACCCTCCACAGGTTTTGAATTCAGAGTTTTCCTTCTCCTAGACCAGTTGCCATCCAAGGCTATAGAACCCAGTCTGTCCTGCTATTTACCCATAGCTGGAGGGAGAAGAAAAGGATTCACATATTTCCCAAATGTGTTAGCATGTGTGTGTGAATGTAATGGATTCGACTGAAATTCGAACTCGGCTCTCCGATTCCACAATCCAAGCCGCTATCCATTACTCCACCGTGCCTCCTCCAAGCAAAATAGGTTGTGGTGTTGGCCTCTTAAAGGTAGACAAAATTGGTAACTCTACCTACAAATGTTTCTAGATGAGAGAAATAAATCGCTTTTAATATGGTATAACCGATGCGTTTTGTCCTCTGACGGAACTTATCAAAGCAAATATAGGATTTATTCTGCCGCATGTGTTTATATATAAGTCCAAGAATGTCATTGGTTTATCAAGATTTTTTTTTTTTTAAATTTGA